TCTGGATTGGGCCAGATCTGAAACATTAAGGTCACTATGGATGGTTTTATTTGTAACAAAGTAGGATTTTACGAAGGCTTTTGGATTGTAAGGATTGGATACAAGAGGAATTTGATGGTTTAGTGGAGCCCCATAGCTCAACTCCGTATGTCCAAATAGGCCTTATTACAGTCATGTATATGATTCTTTTGTAATTAATTGGAAGTTTAGAACGTTTGTCTAGTAAATGCTGAAGTAATCGGGAACGGAAAATCGGAAAGCGGTTTCAAGTCGTTTCAGTTTAGTATGAGGATTCCAAGTTAGTCGTTTGTCCAGGTGGAGTCCTAGGTAGCGGAATTGCTCAACAGGGATAACTGGAGTATTGTTAAAGGAAACTGTAGGACAAGAAGTCATAAGTTTACGACGAAGGGTAAAATTAATTTGGTGGTTGAAGCATTTGGGATGCAATTGATGGTTCATTATTTACTGAAACATGTGTCATCGGCATATGTGGTGATGACAGTGTTGGGATAGGTAGGGATGTCAGCTGTATAAACTGTATAGAGGATAGGACATAGGATACAATCTTGAGGAACACCAGCGTACTGGGACTTATGAATTAAATTAAATATTCTTATAAAGACTTTTTTTTGCTAAATATCATGATCGACCATAGAAAAATTAAATTTTGGTACGATGGATCACACAACGTTTATTTATCATTCTACTTTCTACAGATTTTTTATTAATCCCAATTTTTAAAAATGGGAATCTTTTTGCACTAGTAATGAACTCCTACAAATTAAATTGTCCTAGTAATGGACAAGGTGTCGGCACCAATGATGGACATACCTTAGAAAAATTTTAAAATTTTTATTTAACTATAATGATAAGAAAACATAAATGTTCAACTTACTCTTAGTAAGTTAGCTAATAGGAAGGTATGAAATACACTGATCTCAAGAACACTATAGAAACAACTATGATAGGCATTTTAAAATTTTCTTTTGGGAACGTTGTTCATACGGTTGTCAATAGAGGGCATTGTTCTTAGATCCAGAAAAAACTTGAACCTATAAATCAACAAAGAAGCATATTTACATTTAAAGTCCAACCTGTCCATAAATGTCCACCCTGTTATTTTCAATAAACAGAAATAAACAGTGATTTAAAGAAATTTTAAATATTTGGCATTTAAATCCTGTCAGACTATTGAAATGAGATAACAACTTACGGGATATTAAAGATCATTGAATTTTAAATCTGTATGACGAAATCATATTCTAATCGTTAGAACGATTTTCACGAATATTACTACCATTTCCGATTAGTTAATTTTAACGCACTAGTTGTTGTAACATCTCAATACTATATATAATTTAAATATGTAATTTCAGTTTCGTACGACTTTTCGTCAATGTATCAATGTAAACATTAGTCCGTGATACAGATCCCTTTTTATCGAATTATTAACATAATCTTAAAACTTCGTAAATAGTTTCATCTCATCGTAACCTAAAACTATTTTATTTACAAAAACTCTTGGAACTGTGGCGTTTTCAATCTGGAGGGTGGCAAACTTTGTCTATTTTAATTAGGTATTAAAAATTCGTAAATATCTATTTACTTTCTACCTGGATTGTAAGATAATTTGATCACTACATTGGGCCGTTTGTCCTATATAACCTCGTTATTTTGAAAATTTAGGAATTAAGGTCACGCCAAACGGCTTTATATTTTTGAAGGCCACCATTTTTTCTCGATTTCGTAAGATAATTTGATCAAAAAGTCGAGAAAAAAAGATTTTTCGAACTAGTTATAATTTCTTTTAGTTTCTGCATTTTCCGATCCAATTTCCTATTTTCTATTTAGTCAGTAGCTACGAAACGCTTTTCATATTATTGGAGCGGCTTTTCTCTAACTTGCGATCAATAGTAAATGGCCAATAACTTGAGATGCTCTAAATAACTCTCTATGTAACAATAACAATAATAATAACAAAAGGTTTCATTACTGGCATCCATTCTCTAACTTTCACTTCTTTATTGTATCTTCAAACTTTAATTACTTTCTCACTTTCATTGAATAAAAAAAAAACCAATGATGTATCGTTGTGGAAGATCCAAGAATTTTCAGAAGGGGGGCGCACTTGCGAAACAGTTGAATTCCATACACCAAAGCACAGGTAGGATCTACGAGAGAGGGGAGAGGGGGGAGGATTTCAGGCTGGTTATATTGACTAAGATGGTAAAATATAACCATATTTTACAGAAAACAATATCTCTTAAAGTATTCTTGTTCGTGTAATTACATTTAATAGGGCTTCAAGAACCACTCATATAGGTAGTTAATTTCTTTCTTTTTTTCAAAATTAATTATCGTTTTTATATATATATATATATTTAAAAAAAAAGTTTTCGGGCTGAAGCCTCTCTCTTCCCCCAAAAAATTAAATCCTGGATTCGCTAGTGCACCAAAGAAATATAAAAATAAATAAGTATTTTAGTTTTTTTTTTTTTTGTTTCGTCTAGTATTATATCATGAAATTGCTGTAAAAATTCCTTTACTGGATAATTGGCGTTTATGAACCTTAAACACGACATTTTTGCATATCTTTTTCCACATAAAGTCAATTAAATAGTTCATAACAGATGAACTTGGGAAAGAAACTATAATAAGTATTAGTAGAAAAATCGATTGTGTTCTTTGACTAAGTGTGCACTGCCATAAGCGAATGAAAATTTAAATAACATGTAAAATCAGATTATCGATGAAGATGTCTGGAGATGAGAAAATTTGAAATAAAGCAATTATTTATCGAGATTGAAAATGCCTTTTTCTACTATTAAAGTAGTTTCCAAGGTATCAGAACACTCTAGCAACTACTTAGCTACAATATATGTCATATATTTTGCTATTAAATGAAGAATTTGTATTGTTTTAAATTTATTCCTTGTTTTTGAGCACAAAGTATAAATAAAAATTAAATGTTTTATACAATTTACTTTTTGATTAAAATAATAATAATAAAAGCGACTGTTTGTTAGTTACTTTTCTCATGATAATATTTTTCCTTACTTTCCAGAGGGTTGAGGGAGCGGGGTAGCTCAGTGATAGTGTATAAGCTTCCAGTGCTCGGGTTCCCAGGTTCGAATCCCGGTTCATGGCACAAAGAATATTTATTCTGTTTCATTGGCCGTGGGACGTCCCTGTGGGTAGTGAGACACGGGTAGGACACACCCCGCCGCTACGATTTGGGTACCCTTAATTAAATAATTCATGAAGGGGAAAAAACCTGGTGGTTGAGCGTGATCCTGGCCCAATCTCCTGCCTGCAAAACCGTTGGCTTTGTAACAGTACTTTCTCTAAATATTACTGAACCCAAGATCCTTCATGTTTTGTATTGGTACAGGTTTCTTTTTTTTTTTTTTCCAGGAGATTTGAGAGGGTGCCTCTCCGCTGGATCAGCTAGTGACGTATTGTGCCTATTGTTGTCATAAACTAATGTTTACAGGATAAATGTTAAAAATATAGATTTTTATGAAATATATATTTTAATCGTTGCAATGTTTATATTTAGTTATTTTGACTAAGAAGTTTGTTGGCACTGATCTAAGGAACCATATGGTTTTATGCCGATATAGTGGCAATATTCACTTATGTCAAGAAGCTTCCTTCACCAAGTCAAGACCCAAATTTACTAACTTAGACCGTAATCAATCCTCTATTGGAATCTCAATCCTCTATGCACCTAAATGATGCAATATCGGTTTTATTAAATTCTCACGTTCTTCATTATCTTAGGACAACGTTTATTCTTTACAAGACTATAATCACACCATAAGAGTTTATTTTAAAAAAAGAAAAGAAAGGAAAACCATAGATTTTGAAATATAGATAATTATGTAATCGAAATTGGAATTTTTTTTTTTTTAAATCTTTTTATTGAGGAATAATACTTTTTGCCACATTTAAGGGCACTGAGTACTAAAGCTGAGTGAGGCCCATTCATACTATATATACAATGCAATAAAAAAATAAAATAAAAATAAATAAATAAAAAATAAAAATATATATTTATATAACAAAGATAAAAACTATAAAACTAAAGAAATGTAACTTGAAATCAAATTAAAAAAAATACAGAAATTGGTTGCAAACTAAATAAGTCATAAGTATAAAAAATAAGTATATAAAAAAGAAAAACATTCATACTTAATTTACATTATTTACAATCAGCCAAGGGAGCTCCGAGTCCAGCCCTTTCCTCCACGTGTGAAGGACAAAGCGAGACTCTAAGAGATCCCAGCGGTTCTCTCTCAGCCGCGTCACCGGCAGGAGTCCAGTGGAAACTGAGAGAGCTCACTAAACCGAAATTGGAGTAGAGTACTGACTATACTTGGCTTCAGCTTTTTATACTAAAATTTCAGTTGTTTTTTTGGTGTTATGATTGGGGCCTGCATAGACCATACAAATTAATCAATATTGCACGATATAATTTATGGATCATTGCTTAAATCTAATACCTAGAACCAGAATTATTAAAAAATTAAATATGTTCAGTTAAAAAAGCTCTGACATTCACAGAATGTTTAGAGACTCCTGTGTCTTCCAACAATATAGCTCTTGATCCTTGATCCTACTGGAACAGCTGAATGTGGAAGTCAATAAGTCAAAGAGGCTTTAGAAAAAAAAATTTTCTTTAAACTGAAAAAAAAAGTTTTTTTTTTCGACTGTTAGGTACTTAAGACTCCTACATACAGAATGCGATAATTCCGATGATACTATATTCGCGAACAAGTACCTCACCGCCATCTTAGTTTTCTATTTTCGATGTTTGTTAGTGTATTTTTCACTAACGTTTCTTGAAAGAGATTTCATTAGACTATTGGTTTAGACATGTTTATCTTTTAATAACCCGAATGCAGGTCACACAGTACCTTACCCACTCGAATACCTTATGTTGTAATAATTTGATTGGTTAACTTTGAATTACCCTGTACCTCTTTCTGCTCCTCCAGATCGGAGCCTACTGCTACGCAGAGCTGGGCTGCATGATCTCGAAGACCGGAGCGGACTACGCCTACATCATGGAGACTTTCGGTCCGTTCTTGGCCTTCATCCGGCTGTGGACGGAGTGCATGATCGTCCGTCCCTGCTCCCAGGCCATCGTGGCCCTCACCTTCAGCGTCTACGTCCTCAAGCCCGTCTTCCCGGATTGCGTCCCTCCGGATCCGGCTGTGCGTCTCCTCGCTGCCATCTGTATAAGTGAGTAACTTTTAAAATTTTTTTTTTTGCCATTGAAGATGTTGATATCATTTATTTATTAGTTACGCATATTCCTGGCTCACAATAAATTTGCCATCTACCTTAGTTTGAACATAAAAGGATGCGTCTACAATTTTCCAAAGGACTTTTGACTGAAATGACTGGATGATTTTTATATTTGCTTTCTTTGCTGTTCCCCATAGTTCGATGCCATGTGTCCAAATGAGAACTTTATAAATAGTTAATTCATTAATCACAAATAATTTAGAACGTCTGTCAAGTAGCCTAGAAAGAAGTCCGTATCGCTGATTAAGTTCTGTTCTTTTTTGCTTTATGTGGTATGTCCATGTCAGTCGTTTGTCTAATTGGAGACCCAAATATCGTACAGTTTTTGAAGGTGGTAGAGCAATATTATTAACGAAAACTGGAGGACAAGAGTCATGTTTAAGTGTAAATGAAACAAATTGGCTCTTAGACGCGTTCATTTTTATTCTCCACCTTTTACCCCAACAAGCTATGGTGTTCTTGAAGTACCTGAGAAGCCTTAGCTGCATCCTTGTTAGATATTAATATTGCCGAGTCATCAGCAAATGTAGCCAACAGTGTTTCAGAATGTTGTGGGATGTCTGAACAGTAAATGTTGAAAAGTGTTGGACCCAAGACACTGTCTTGAGGTAATCCAGCTTTTATTTGTTTGGTGGCAGAAAACTCATTCTACATTTTCACACAGAAAAATCTATCTTTTAGATATGATAGTAAAATCAAGTAATACGTCGGAGGAATAATCGTTTTAATTTATATAACAAACCATCGTGATGTTGATATAGAGGTATAACCAAATCTATTGTATACTTGTTACGAAATAAGTTTTAAACTTCTCAGACCGGATTCGACTTCCATTCTCGTCCCCATCCTTGAGTTTTTCCTTATAGCTGAAAAAATATTACATTCTAAAACGACTTACTGCTTGCTGCTCTGGCACTTTACCTGAAGGTTTATATTGGTGTTTCTAATCCCCGCAGAATGTACCAACCGTCGACAAAAAATTTATTTATGTATTCCTTCCTTCTTTGCCTTTCGACTACACGAAATTTCGCAGGAATGACATATCACGTGTATGCCATTTCTGCTATTAAACGGCAAGTACTTTAACGATTTAGTTTTGTTTTTCAAAACTCTTCTTTTTCTGACATTTTCTTTTCACAATATCAGTTTGGCGGCCATCCATTAACCTCCGGTCCTCTTCTTCCCAGATTAAAGTGGGAGGCCCCCTTAATACGGGTAGTTCTGCTCCGTCACTAACTGGGGAAGTTCATCCTCCGTGAGGCCATAGACTCCAATTTTTCTTATCCTTCCGGCCCTTAGTCCATTAAAGGCGGTGCAGTTGACTATGACATGCTCAGCAGTCTCCGGTACTCCGCAAGTGGGGCATAGTAGATCTGTGTCCTTTCCAAAACTATGCAACGGAAACCCCCATGCCCAGTGAGGAATTTAGAGCCCCACTAGTCCGGAAGAACCCACTTCGCATCCAAGCGACTTCGGACGGTGGGAAAATATTTTCTTTTAAAGTTGCTCCTTTCGAGGTAGTTACCCACCGCCGATTCCATTCTTCTGTGGTATCCTCCCGAATAATCCTTTTCCATTTTTTTGGGTCTTCTGCAATCCTCACCCAGATATAATCCGGAAGACCTGCTGAACCTTCTCTTTTGAACTTAAATATCAACGAGTCTTCTCAAAGGAGAAGGTCGAGAGGTACCCCTCCTGCTAAGATCTGCACCGCCTCGTGAGACACACTTCGATATGACTTGGTGACACCCAACAGAGTTTGACAGGTGTGAGAGGTTCTGAAACCACGCAGGAGAGGCGTACCTCAGAATACCCAGTATCATTCTATTGTAAATGGTCGCTGGATATATGAGGCCCCAAAATGCACCCCTTAGGCGACTAAGGCCGTTCAAGGCTACGGCCACCCTATTTCCTAAGTAGTCCAGATGAGGTGTCATATTAAAACCTTCCAACTCTTATGCCAAGATAGGTGACCATCTCACTTGGACTTACTCTCGTTCCCTGTATACATATATTGATAGTGTGTGCCCTATCCGTTTTTCCCTTCAGCACAATGGCCACAGCAAGGGTAATAGTTTATAAAATACAATTTTTCTAATTCTACTTTCACGTGCTCTGTTTCTAAGAAGAAGAGAGCAATAATATTTCTTGTGAGGGTGGCGTGCGCTAGCGCTAGCGCTACCAATCTTGTGGGAGGAGCTACTTTGTTTTAAAGCTCCAGACAATACAACCAAAACCCTGTAATATAGTTTATTTTTTTACTGATTGAACATAAATCATGATTTTTTTTTTTTTTTTTTTATACTTTTCTTTAATACTTCAAAAATTAATTATTTTTAAACCAAAATATTTACGTTGATTCAAGCTAAAATTGAACTGAATTTAACTTCATAGTAACAATTTAAAAAATGTTCTTTTATGCTTTCAGAATTATTTTATTTAATTCCATTGTTTACTTAAGGATATAGAACAATGTTTGTAAAATTATATTTACATTTCGCGTGAATAATGAAATGGAATGTTGATCCACTTCGGGATTGCACTGTTTACTTTTAGCTCTATCCATGTACGATAATTACTCGCGAATTCCTTTATATTGTATATATAATCATAATTCATACAATATCACAATCATCCGTGAGGAATTTTACTTTGTTGTGATTTACAATAACGCTGTTTGTGTAGTTTGCATTTATTTTAATTTTTCTTTATTTTCATCGTAGAGTCACAAGCATACTACCATTCTCTAACTAATCGTACCCGTGGGAAACTAACGATTCTCACGAATGAACAAAAAATTAAGTAATACTAATTACTGAATAATTAAGAGAATAAATTGTTTTTGATGAGTTATACTGCGTGTAATATTGATTCGATCAAGGACATTTTAATGAAGAAAAGGATTCATTCACACCAAATACTAATAATAGGTCAAATAAAAGTGAATAGAGATTTATATAGCGATCGACTAGTTCTAATATCATAAAATAATTAGTATATATATATATATATATATATATATATATGTATATATATATATAGCCTTAAAAATTAAAATAAATTCAAATATATTGACAGAATGGAGACGACCTAGAAAGCGCCCCCGTCATAGCTGTGTGCTAAGTCTCGCGAGTTGCGTAGCTTTCTGGACTAGTCTTGAAACCCGTTTACCCGGATGTCGAGCGTAAACATTCCGTAGTTAGAAAATTGCAATGAACTTTTTCTTATTTTTTCTTAAACTTAATTTAAATATATATATGAATGTGGATATAATTTGAATACTCATTCTGTCAATTTTAATGTTTTTTATTTTATGAAACTAGAAAATTCAAACAAACTGCCTAGTGCCTCTATATTGAAGGTAAAAAGCAAAAAAACACGCCAACGTTTCACCAGATCAGGTATCAACAATACAGGAAAAAAAAAAGGTTGAGAAGAAATCACCTCCTATGATCTGAAATAATATAAAAAACTAAATTTATATTTTCAAGTTATAAATGAAATATAGAATAAATTGCTGTATATTATCGCCAATATACCCCTACGGTCACTAGCGGATACAGGATTTAATTTTGGGGGGCTTCAGCCCGAATCATATTTTTTTTCATATATATAATGATAATTAATCTGGAAAAAAAAGAAAGAAAAACTACCTATATGGAATGGTGTTTAATTAATTTTCGAAGTCCTATTAAATGTAATTATAAGAACAATAATACTTTAAGAGATAGTTTTAATACTATATTTTATAAAACATGGTTATATTTTACTGTTTTGAGGGAGGGATTTCAGCCCGAATGTCGCTCCCCTCCCCGTAGATCCGCCTGTGCCGATGGTCACTAGCGGATCCAGGATTTAATTTGGGGGGAGGCTTCAGCCCAAAAGATATTTTTTCATGTATATAACGATAATTACTTCAAATAAAAAAAAAGAGAACGATACTAACTACCTTTTTTCCATTTTTCCATGGAATATGGTTATATTTTACCATTTCGGGGGGGCTTCAGCCCGAAAGCTCCTCCCCCCCCGTAGATCCGCCTGTGCTGACGTCATTCCATTGCTTTCATCTTCTTCCAGAACCTACAAGCCAGCTCCTCGTACTCTCACTCATAACGTACCCTCTCTAATTTGGCTACGACTGTGTGGTTTACGGTGACCTCTGGATGATACTCATGGGCGGATTGAAGCGAATCCTGAGGTGTTCTCTGAGACCAGTTAAAGCGATTTTTCTCTCGGACTCCAGTTGAAAATATTTCTTCGCGTCCTTCCCATGCCAAACTATAAACTCTCAGCCAGCACCATTCCTACATCTACAGTATTCTTTAATTAAACCCTTGTTTCACATACAGGAACTAGATCTCATGTTTCATTCTTTTATACACCTTCCCACATAACTAAAACCTTCGAACGTTCCTTTTTTTTTTTTTTTCCTCTCCACTGCTTTCTGCTATTCCCTACCAAATATCTACCATGCTCCTTCCGTTTCTGCATTCAAATCCCTCTTAGTCCATTACCTTCTCACATCCCAAAAAGACGCTCTCTAATCTTGCAATTTTAATTTCAGAATAAATTGTTGATTTGAAGTGAATAATACTTTTAATATTTAAGTTAAAGGATGGTTGGAGTGATCAGTCAAAATAAAAAGTAGTATTAATAAATAATTATATTTATTTTTATATTTGCCGACGTGACGGCCCGAACTTCAGTCCTTCGTCAGTCTTTCTACGCTTCTTAGATTGACCAGCCCTGATGAAGACTTGAACTAAGGGCCGAAACGTCGGCATATATAAAAATAAATACAATTATTTATTAGATCACCCCAACCATTCTTCTCTTCAAATATCCATTACAGTCAATCATCAACCCACAATTAAGTTTAAATTCTGCCATCATTTCATCATTCTAATTTTTCTTACTCTAGATTTTTTCAAGTT